TGGGGCACAGACCCGCCAGATGTGCCCCGGACCTTTGTTGTCGGCTCCGCCCGCCGGTTCAGTTTTGTGCCTGCGTGGCGCCTGTTTCTCAAGGCTCTCTCAACTAGACTGACTTGCTCAGCAATCCTGCCAAAAGACAGGATGCTGCGTTCACTGCTTGTTGTGCTCGTCCTTGTCTACTTGCTGCCGGTCTTGCTTGCATGTCTGTCCGCAGCCGTTTCTTGAAGGTCCCGCTGCTAGATCTCGCCCGCCTCTCCCGCCATCATGCCAATGGAGGGTAACGCGTCGAGCTCCGGTGGCTTTGACCCACCCGGTCGCTACTTCGCGGGGCGTTCTTCAGCAGCTTCTGAGCCAGGCCCGGAGCCGACCCCGTCGCTCCGCCCTGCGGAATCGGTGGTCAGTGACGACTCCGACCCAGGTAGCCAAGCCCCCGTGGCTTCGTGTCCGGTGGCCTCTGGCCTTGGCTTCGTTTTGGCTTCGCCCGCTTTTGCCTCTTCTTCGCAGAGTCCTGTGCCGACTCCGGGCTCTTGGGCCGCGGTCGGGGATGTCAGCTCACGGACGGAGCTCGTGGATCAGCTCTCCCGGCTCCGCCCCGACGCCCGCGATCGCATTGCCCGGCTCTGCATGCGTATGGGTTCGCCGCCTGGGCCCGGTCCGGCGGCCGTCAAACCAAAGTCCCTCTTCCCCCTCGCTGGCCCGGCCGTGCATACCCCGAAGTCGTCCTTCCCGCCGGCGACTCCAGCTCCCACAGTGCCCGAGATTCGTGCTCCGCCTGCCCCGCTGGATGAGCTTGGTTTCCCTCCGGAAGTCACGTCGGATTCTTCCGTGCCTAAGGCGCAGGCCAAAGCATCGTTTCCGTCGGCACGCCCTACTGTGATACATCCGCCCCCGTGCCTTGTACAGTGTCCGACGCCGGGGTGCTATAACCAATGCGGCCGTCCGGTGTATGGGCGCGGGCACCGCAATCACTTGTGCCGCGTTTGTCACCGCCTCCGAGGCTGACATCTGGCACAGAGTTCCGTCCGCTTATCAGGGAAAAAAGATGGTCTTATGCTCTGCTTTCTGCTCGCATGTTCATGTTGACCGTTCATGTTTCCTTTTGCCCGCAGCCATTTTGCTCATTCTGCAGGTAGACTGTGCTGCCTTGGCCTCGGGCATCATGGCCCCAGCTTCGCGGCTGGATGACCCTGCGGCCCTCGCTGACTTCTTGTCCTCCATCTCTGCCCCAGATACTCTGGCGGATGCCGTCAAAAGTGCTGGCTTTCACACTTTGGGCGCCTTGGCCTTCGCTCTTTCTGATCCCTCCGATTCGGATGAGGTTATGAGGTTCATCCGGGTTATCCTTAAAATCCCTGACGGCGATGCCACCGCCACCTTCCGCCCGGATGTGTCCTGCCTTCGTCGCACCGTTCTAGAGGCTTGCTCTATTGCACCCCCTCGGGCCGCCTCAGCTGCTGCCCCGTCACAACTGCCTACTGTTTACTACTGCGCCTTCCGGGTCGACTTCGAACAAACTTACGGCGGCTGACTTCCTCGCTCTTCGCAAGGAATACCTCACGAAGTATCCGGGCGAACT